CGGGGCGTGTCCCAGGTCCAGGCACAGCCCGCCTGTGGGAGAAGGGACGTCAGGAGCGCAGCCAGGGACTGGGGACCCCCGCGCCCGTCGCACTTGTATTTCTCAGCTCGTAATGCCAGCCTGGGTTTCCCCTTTCCTTTTTTTTTTTTTTTTTTAAGGGGACAGATAGTAGAATAAGGAGTTGGACCTGTAACTGACTTTGAACACTCATTTGAGATCACTCACTACCTTCGGACCAGCCCCCCCACCCTTTCCTTGAACTCAGGGGCCAGCCCGGCTTCCTTTCCTCTGCTTGGGAAGCCCGCTGGCTTCTTTGCCACCTGACGGTTCGGGTAATTCAGCATCACCTTCAGCTCTGTGTGTCTTTCTTGCATCCGTCATAGCCAGTAGTTCCAGAACTACTAGGTCTTGGTTGAATCACTGGCCTTTGCCCATCCACTTTCTCTTTCCCATTTTTCCCACCTTTCCTCTTTCCCAGCTCACCCTTCAGGTCACTCCTCAGACGTCCCCTCCTCCAGGAAGTCCTGACTCTTATTCCATCCAGCTCATGTATGTAATTGTGCCTTGTGCTCGCCCATCACAGCCCTGAACACCCTGGGCTCTGAGGGCTGGTACCCTAGTACCGCTAGTGTCCCTCATGTCACTCAGCCCAGAGGGGACACTCAGTGCCATGGAGAAAATTATTATAGCCACTCACTTACAAGATCTTTATATTCATGTTTTCCTTTCATCTGATTTTTTTTTTGGGGGGGGGTTGCTATAGGGCATGTGCGCTCGCCAGACAAAGAGAGAGACAGAAAGCGAGAAATCACCCCCTAGGGGGTAAGGCCACACTGCAGTCCCTTCTCCTCCATTCTCCTCTCAGTATGACACACACATGGCCAGCGTGAGTTTTAAGCCACCAGGTCCGGGAAGTGAACTGTGGTCGACTACATGGGAGTCCAGCGACATAGCCATTATGCTAACCACTGGTCCCTAATCTGATTTATTTTTTGTAAATTTTGCTAGAGGCTGTGTGTATTCACCTGAGAGAGGCCGTGTGTGTGTGTGTGTGTGTGTGTGTGTGTGTGTGTGTGTGTGACAGAGCGAGAAAGCACGCCTCCTAGGTAAGATAGCCACATTGTAATCCCTTCTCCATTCTCAGGTTTTTGGGCACACAACACACACTCACACATCGTGTTTTTCAAGTCTCGGGGCATGGGTCTGGGGCTTGAACTACACAGTCAGCCATGTGGGATCCAGCACCTTAACCACCATGTCACGGGCTGGCCCCTCATTTATTTATTTCCTTTTCTTTTTTTTTTTCTTTCTTTTTTTTTTTTTAAGAGGTTTTTGCTATAGGGTGCGTGTGCTTGCCAGAGAGACAGAGTGAGACAGAAAGACAGAAAGCGATAAACCCCCCCCCACAGGGGATGTCCATGCCGCAATGCCTTCTCCATTCTCCTCTCGGGATCTTGGGCACACACACACATGCATCCGGCATGAGTTTAAGCCACCAGGTCTGGGACTCGAACCGCGGTCGACTACATGGGAATCTAGCAACATAGCCATTACACTAACTGCTGGTCCCTATTTATTTTTCTTAAGATAGATTTTTGCTAATAGGTGCCTGCATTCACCAGAGAAACAGAGAGAGAGAGAGAGACAGAAAGCAAGAAATCACCCTCCAGGTGGGGGAATGACCACACTGTAATCCCTTCTCCATATTTCTCTCACGCCCGCCGTGAGTTTTAAGACACCAGGTCTGGGACTCGAACTGCAGTTAATTACATGGGAGTCCAGCAACATAACCAATACGCGATCTGCTGGACCCCTCACTTAATCTTTTTTTTTTTTTTTTTTTTTTTTTTTGTGGGGTTTTTTCTATGGGGCATGTGTGCACTCACCAGAAAGACAGAGAGACAGAAAATGAGAAATCACCCTTTAGGGAGGATGGCCACGCTGCAATCCCTTCTCCTCCATTCTCCTCTTGGGATCTTGGGCACACATGCACACACGCCCGGTGTGAATTTAAGCCACCAGGTCCAGGACTCAAAACGTGGTTGACTACATGGGAGTCCAGCGACATAGCCATTACACCAACTACGGGTCCCCCCTCATTTAATCTTTTAATCAGTTAATCAGACCCAGTCTCCCTCCTGCTCCCTCCTGCTCAGAACCCTCCTATGGCTCAAAGTCACTTGGTAAAAACAAGAGTCTTCCCATGGCCCAGGAGGTCCCACAGGATCTAACCAGTCACCTCCTGGTCTCATCTCTCACCACTGTCCCCTTGCTCTCCCTGCTCCCACCATACTGGCTTCCCTGCACATCCTTGGCACACACCAGGCCCATCCCTGTCTCAGAGCTCTAGGAGGGCAGGGGTTTGTCTGTATCTCTCCCTGCTGCATCCCAGTGTCCAGACAGGCCCGCACATCCCCCAGTGCTCAGTAAATATTTATGAGGTAGGGAATATCTTCCTACAGGTCTCACAGAACTGGCTGGGCAGAGTGGTAGGTTCTGGCCCCAAACCCTTGGGCTGTAAGAAACAAAGCCAAGATTCCCATGCAGGCCTACCTGAGCCAAGCAGGGCCCCGGGTCCCACCCCTCGCCATCCTGGCCTGCCTGCCTCACCATTTCGGCATGGCTGCAGGCTGCACCGGTCCACCCTCTTCTCACAGTTGGAGCCTTGGAAGCCGGGCGGGCAGTGGCACACGTAGGCGGAGTCCGGATCCGCACCGCCGACACACAGGCCACCGTTGAAGCAGGGTCCATCCGCACATGTCACCCCACTCACCTCACACCGTGGCCCGTAGAACCCCCGGGGGCAGGCGCACTCAAAGGACCCTGCTGTCTCCTGCAGGGGCAAAGGGCTTTGGATGGGGGTTTCCTTGGAGCAAAATGCCATCCCCCTCCTCAGTGTTACCCATCAGGGCTGCTCCTGGTCCAGTCCCAAGTCCCAGTGTGCAGAGGACTCACCAGGGAAGTCCTCCCCAGACAACCTCACTGTACTCCATGTTCCTGTGTCTGCCATGTGACCCACAGTACCGTTCCACCCTCTCCTCACAGTTGGAGCCTTGGAAGCCGGGCGGGCAGTGGCACACGTAGGCGGAGTCCGGATCCGCACCGCCGACACACAGGCCACCGTTGAAGCAGGGTCCATCCGCACATGTCACCCCACTCACCTCACACCGTGGCCCGTAGAACCCCCGGGGGCAGGCGCACTCAAAGGACCCTGCTGTCTCCTGCAGGGGCAAAGGGCTTTGGATGGGGGTTTCCTTGGAGCAAAATGCCATCCCCCTCCTCAGTGTTACCCATCAGGGCTGCTCCTGGTCCAGTCCCAAGTCCCAGTGTGCAGAGGACTCACCAGGGAAGTCCTCCCCAGACAACCTCACTGTACTCCATGTTCCTGTGTCTGCCATGTGACCCACAGTAGGGAGGCTGGGGCCCTGCTGGGGACCCTGATTCCCTACTCCCACTGCTACATGTTTGCCTACCAATGCTGCCTCCCTGCCTGCCCATCCGATTCCATCCACACAGACAAATCCCCCTGTGAGGGCCCAGCCCTAAGCCCATCTCCTCCATGACGCCTTATCTCCATCTTCCTGCCCAGGCCCTACCGCAAACTGGCACCCTGAGTGTTGCATCTCCCATTCTCCCAAGGTGACGATGTCCAGGAACGTCATCCCAGTACTACAGTCAGACCCACCCCCTCACACACCTCTGCTCCCAGTGCTGTTCACCGGGTCTGCCCTCTCTGACCATGTCCCCTCAGCCAAATCACACTGCAGTAGCCCCAGCCCTGGCCCATGTCCAGAAAGCCCTTTCTGATGTCCCCACCCACCATGTCTCCAGATCCCAAATCCCAACCCTCCTGGCCCCATGCCCCCACCATGGTCCTGGACTGTTCTCTATCCCACTGTGGGGGTCGTTATGGCTACAGAGGACTCCTCAGCACCCCATTTCTTTTTTTTGTTTGTTTTTGTTTTTGTTTTGTTTGTTTGTTTTTGGAGAGGTTTTTGCTATAGGGCACGTGCGCTCACCAGAAAGACAGAGACAGAGAGATAGAAAGTGAGAAATCACCCCCCAGGGGGGATGGCCACGCCACAATTCCTTCTCCTCCATTCGCCTCTCGGGATCTTGGGCACGCGCACACACGTGCCTGGCATGAGTTTTAAGCCACCGGGTCCAGGACTCAAAACGCGGTTTACTACGTGAGAGTCCAGCGAAATAGCCATTACGCTAACTGCTGGTCCCTATCACTCCCATTTCAACACCTCTCAGTGCCACCTGCCAAATCCACTCTCCCTAATCCCATCCTATCATCTAATCCTACCGTCAGGTCCCAGATGCAGGCTGGACTCTTCTGGGAAACCCTCTTTGATAGCCATTTTCAGACCTCCTCCCCCAGCTGGAGTCTCATGGAGCCCGGGGGCAGGGGCTGTGGGTGTGTGCAGGGTCTCCCAGGTAAAGTACTAATCATGGTAAGGTGGGAAGGGGAGATACTTACACTACAGCTGCCCCCGTTGGCACACGGGTTCCCATCACAGGGCCCAGGTCCAGGTCCAAGGCAGCCCGTGGTGGCAGAGGATGGGCCCCTGGGGCTGAGGCAACTGCTGGGTGAGACAGGGACCAGGCAGAGGGGCCCAGTCCAGCCCTCCAGGCATCGACATTCATTGGGCTGCTCACAGAAGCCATGCTCTGGGCTGCAGCCTGCTCGACACGCAGCTGTGGGGGATGGAGAAGCAGAGACCAGAGAGACAGCAATGTCGGAGGAGGCCAGGGTAGGAAGGGAAGCAGAGGCTCTGAGAACTTTCCAGGTGTCCCCTTGTTTCATCCTGGGGACAGAAAAGCCTCTGGTCTAGATGGCAAATATGACCTCCAGTCTACTGGGGAAAACTAAAGCCGGGAGAGGGGCGGGACCTGCCCAGCTAGGAGTTGGAGAATAAAGATTGACACCTAGGCCACTGGGCTTCAGTCTGTGCTCCTGGAAGGAGGACAGGTTCGGGGCTCCCAAATCGGCTTGAGGCAAGATTATAAAAAAAATAAAATAAAATAAAAACTAAAAAAAAGAATAAAAAAAAAAGATTAAAAAAAAAATCGGCTTGAGGAAAGGGGACATGGGACTAGGGAGGGGCCACTGACCTTTCAGGAAAGATGGAAGGGTCTTGGATTAGAGTAGGTCTGGAAAGATCTGGATTAGCCTGTGAGTTCTAGGGGCCTTGGTGGGGCTCTGAAATTTGGGGAAGAATCTAAGGGGATCCAGGGTGATGGCAGGGATCCTGAGCTTGTAAAAACCAATGGTTCTGGGACCAGCAGTTGGCATAATGGTTATGTCACTGGACTCCCATGTAGTCAACCACGGTTCAAGTCCCGGACCCGGTGGCTTAAACTCACACCAGGTGCGTGTGCATGCATGCCCAAGATCCCGAGAGGAGAATGGAAGAGAAGGAATTGCGGCGTGGCCATCCCCCCTGGGGGGTGATTTCTCGCTTTCTATCTCTCCCTCTCTCTCTGTCTTTCTGGCAAGTGCATGCGCCCTATAGCAAAAACCTCTCCAAAAATAAAAAACAGTGGTTCCAGGCCAGTCAGGTGGAGGGGAGTTAACGCAGCTGGATACCACATGGCCTACTGACCAATTCAAGTCCCACCCAGACCCAGCAGCTTGAAAATCATGCTGGGATGAGGCCAGCAGGTGGTATGGTGGTCTGGGTCCTGGATTCCCATGATCGGCCATGGTTCAAGTCCTAGACCTGGTAGTTGCATTCTCACTTTCTCTCTATTCTTCTTGATTAATTATAATAATAATGATGATGATAGGACCAGCAGTTAGCTTAATGGCTATGTCGCTGGACTCCCATGTAGTCGACTGCAGTTCGAGTCCTGGACCCGGTGGCTTAAACTCATGCCAGGTGTGTGTGCGTGCGTGCCCAAGATCCCGAGAGGAGAATGGAGGAGAAGGGATTGCGGAGTGGTCATCCCCCCTGGGGGGTGATTTCTCACTTTCTGTCTCTCTGTCGCTCTCTTTCTGGCGAGCGCACGTGCCCTATAGTGAAAACTTCTCCAAAATAATAATGATAATAATGATGATGATTAATTTTAAAAAAGAAAAGGAAATCATGCTGGGCATGTTGTACTTGCCCAGAATCCTGAGACAAGAGGGATGTGATGTGGCCATCTCCCACGGGGGTGCTTTCTCATTTTCTCT